GGGCGGCTGCAAGAGGGCAGGGAGGGGCGGCTGCTGCAGGGCAGGGAGGGGGGGCTGCAGGGGGGCCAGGGGCGGCGTAGAATGAGGTGGTTGCGGTGTACTCCGGAGTATGCAGTAGATCGTGTGACCGAGAAGTAGCAGGGAGCGGCTGCAGTGGGGCAAGGGGCGGCCGATTACGGTTTCGCCGGACTGTGTAAACGGAGACGGCTGCCATGGAGTAGAGTTGTTTGGCTACCGAGGCTGATGGGCAGGCGCAGAAACAGGCAGCAGGTTCGGGGCGCGGGTCATGTTGGTTTTCTATGATGACGTGAACACGGGGATGATAATTAACCATCCCCTCCCTTTTCGTGATGCTCCATGTTTTTTCATCCAAAAAGTGGCGTTATGTCTAATTCTAGCTCTTCGAAGTACTTTCATCACACTGGACAGATATTACGTCCTGTCGCTGGGTATGCCAAAATTCCGCCTTTTCCCGGACCAGGGGATGGTAACGCACCATCCCCCCCCCATCGAGCGGATTTTTTTTTTTTCTCTCTCCAATGTCATATGTGATCGTTTGCCAAAGTTGTCCGACGTCCACCGTGCCCAAATGGCACGTTTCCGTCAATATTCTTCAAACCTTGCTTATATTCCCGGATTTCCAAACCTTGCTTATATTCTCGGACAGAGGGAGTAGTTAGAAACGGAGAGCACGATGACCGTAGTAGTAGACATGGGCACCGGACGAGAATAGCAAATAACCGATAACCGGCTAGGAACCCGTATTCTCAGAGTCCAACAGCCTGTCTGTATAAGCCGTTATTTTGTTATTTTCAGACCCGGTTAACCGGTCAACCGGATCATGGAAGGAAACGCCTCAGCAATCTTTCAAAAGTTTTGTGGCTTCATGGCATACACACCATCTTTTAATCACCCAGTCGGTGTTCTGCCGGTGTATGGCGCAGTAATTCACGCACACAATGTGTTGAAGTGTCAAAGAAGAGATGGGCACCAGAAGGGAACGACCAATGAGCAAAAACCGACTAGCGCTGAAAAGCCTCCTCGTTGACGTAGTTTTTTTGGTAAGCGTCACTCATAACGCTTCCTCGGTGTCCAAATAACCGAGATACCGGTTATTTTCCAACCGTGTCCATCTCTACTCGGCAGGCACACTTCACTCATCATGCAAACAGACTAACAAAAGTTGGTCGGCAGTTAAGAGGAACATGAGTCACTCCTCCTCTTCTGTGGGCAAGATGTTCTTCTCGGTACAAGGCAATGCCAACAAAAGCATGTACTCGTGGCAAATTTCCTTTCTTTCGCGAAGCTACAGCAGTATAGGCACGAACCTTGCGTGCTATTTTAGCGTTCGCTACCTATGCATAGTAGGGGCAGAGGTGCAACATCGCGTAGCACCCTCCAGCGAAAGAATCTGCAGCAGTACTTTCAAACTCCTTGATGGCTTTCTCTCTGGCCCTGTCGTTCAGACTATTTCTCGCCGTGCAAAGCGAAGAATCGATCCACGTTAAAAACAAATGTAACCCCAAAAAAAACATCAACAGAAACGAAAAGGAACCCAACCAGTTTCATGCGTGCATGTACAATCGAGCTTGCTTGCGAGCGCACGTCAAGGGTAGATGCCTTGACTTTCACGTCCAATCAGCGCCGATACCACTTGTGCCGTTTACTCGAACCCGTGGTCACACAGAGGGGTTTCCCCCCACCCACCCCTCCTGCAGTATCTGCTTTGCCTTCGGTTCTGAATGCGAGAAGATGGCGGGAGGGAATACAACCTCAGCATGCATGTTTAACCAATCGACTCTCTGCTTGCTCCAGAAGAAAAGTCGAAAAAAGAATCCCATTCTCTCGAGGAAATCCGTACACACAACTTCTGCGGACCCCCTGTCAGCATAATCGAAAATGAACGTGTTCTTTTTTTCTCACTACAGAATAGCCGACTAAATAGCGTGGTACATCCACATTCATTCCAAAACACACTCGATACTTGGGACCAACGAAACGTAGAACTATTTCAAACAAGGATAGATGCACACGACACACACATGAAGAAAACAGCAAAAGGCTTCGCAGTCTGTTGCGCGCGATGTGCCACGCATCCCTCGTAAGGAACAGGAATAGAAAACCCTCCGCCATAAAAGCCATCACATCGTCTCCAACATACCTAGTGCAGAAATGATTATGCAGGCCGCGGTAATTCACGAGGCTCGCTGGTTACCTCATTCGCTACAACGATTGGCGGCAGGGAATAGCACTACAACTCCAGAGGGTACGGAGAGAATCAACGCTTCAGCTGAAGGCAAGGCTGGAAGAGAGAAAAACATTTGTGGCAAGTGGATAGATGATTGGTAAAAAAAAAATGCGGTTATGTTGTAGCGTTGGGCAGCCAACGAACCCAAACGGACTAGATGACATCGCCATCACCCCGCCGCTCTCTCTGCCCTTGCTTTCCTGACATAAAACAAAAACACTTCGAAAAAAGAAACAACGAAAATCGCATATATAGAATAGTACCACCTTTCTTTTTTTTTGTCCCCAACAAAGGCCGCACTGATCAGTTGCGCCTCTCACTATAGCAGGCCGCATCGATCAGTACCGCCTCTCCCTTACATACCCGTGCGCGCGGCTGACACACACGCCCTTAAGAGGCACACATACATCAAGGCTCGGAAACCACGCATAGGAACCGCACACCTGCTGCCGCTAGTTATACCACAGCCTTCAGCACAGTGCAACAACGACCATAGCACGTACTAGCCCCCGGCTAGACCATATGACACGACAGTTACACTCGTAATCTCGCTCAAAATCTTCAACACATGGTACCCATACACCGACACGGAACCCCACCCCCGCATGCGCTTGGGCGAGAAAAACAGACGCCCTTTAACGATGAAACCGTTTGGAAGAACAACGCGTCAAAACCCTAACCCTCGACTGTATCTACATTTTCCAAGACGAAAGCGAAAAGTCCGAGCACACATCCCATCCGTAAACTTCACACAGCGAAACAGCCAACACGCCGAGAGCCATATAGAACTTTGCGGAGCTTCAAGGTTGCCGAGCTTGCCCCCTCTGCTCGTCACCGTCCCTCCGTGTTGGCCGGTACGTAGCCAGGCCCAGAACAACGACCATCTTTCAAGAGCCATTGCACACCCTGCGACACTACCACCTCCGTAACATCTGATTTCGCAGCGAGATCGAAACAGGACTGCATGTACCGCACACGACACAAGATAGCACACCCCCTGGACCGTTTGTCAAAGCTCGAATACTCCCACGACGAAGAGGATGCATAGACGAAAGGATACAGAGAGCTCTCGAACATACGGCTTCAACATCACCGTTTTCGGCCCTACGACTGTTGCTACTGTTGAAGAATCGAGCTTTGAAAACCGGTCCAGGAGGTGTGTTATCTTGTGTCATATACAGTATATAGCAAACGGGTCACCGTGACTTGGCTCAACGAGTTCCCCCGCCCCCTCACCCCCCCCCGATGCCAGGACGATTAACATGTATAATAGTGCGAGAAAGGACAAGACGTTTCACGAACAAAGAGCATCACCCTAGAGCTGCAAAGCAACTTCCCAGCCGCAAGCAGCAACAACGACACAATTTTACTTAACGAACGATCATCGACCCCGGACACAGCGCGCGCCTCTCTCTCTGCCCTACGAGGGGACTCAGGACACGAGCTCGATAAGCTCCGCCTCGCAATGGCGCTTGTGTTTCTCCCCTGTCTCGTTGCACCACGGCGTTTCCTCGAAGGTACACGCCGAAGAGGCTCTTCTACATATGGCAAATCTGTCCTCAACAGCAGTCAGAAACAAAAAAACGCCAGCCCTTTATTTCTCTTCTTGTTAATTGTCGCCTGCCTGTTGGCCTCCATCCAAAAAAAAAAAAAAGAGAGACAAACAAGAAACCACCACGACGAAAACAACAAAAAACGCAAAAGGCTTCGTCGATAAGCCAGAAACAAGTCTAGGTTTTCCCGAGATAGGCATAGACTCGCCGCTATCTTACAACCTCTGTTAGACTAACTGCCCGTGCAAAGACACCCACCACATCCACATAGCGACACCCTCCCTGCACCCGCGAAACAAAATCAGCCGCCAAGACCCACTCCCTTGGCAATCGGAGGCCTCCGGAAATCTGACTCTGCGTAACGGCGAGGGCACGCGCGGTATAAGATGAACAACGTGAGGTTGGGGGAGTCGGGAGGTGCTACTGGCATATCTGTGATTTCTTCTTCCCCTCGAAGAAGGATGAGTGGACCAATGTCATGCATCTTTTAGAGGAGGGGCGGGTCGGTGGATGGGATACCGACGACGACGGGAATGACCCAAAAAATGATTAGACAAAAACTGGACATCCAATCCGCTTGCATCATAGCATGACGGAAATAATCACAGAAAAAATCAAGATTACTAGTTTCATCATCGCGGGTGTCGGGAGTTGAGTTGCCCCTTGTTTCGAGTACTTTATGTGTTTAGCGGCGTGCATTCCATGTTGTCGGTTGAATTCCACCTTGTGACCAGGATACCGTAGACGACATGAGATACCATACCCCCTGGACCGATTTTCAAAGCTCGATTTCTCCACGATCAGAAGAAAGAGTGGCAGCGCCGAAAACGGTGGCGTTGAAAGCCGTCTCGTCGAGAGCTTTTCCAAATACTTGTGTATCGTTTCACCTCTTTGTCGTGGAGTACCCGTAAGGTTGCGGGTCAGCGCACAGGGACAGGGGTGCGATCGATTTTCAAAGCGAAATATATCCACAACCAGAAGGGTGCGAGCGCCAACCGATACTTGTCAGGAAAGCTCTCCATGAGATGTTTCCAAGACCGCCCTTTTCGACAGTGGTAACCGCCTGCTTGCGGAGAAAATACGCCTTTGAAATCGGTCCGGGGGGTGTGATATGTTGCGTCAACTACGGCACTCGTTCCGTTTCCTCGAAGTGTCGTCGAGGAGCTGGTTATATGTAGTTGAGAGTACCTTTACGCCAAGACAACAGAACCAAGAGTAACAACCAACAGACGCACCAGCAGCAACATTAGTAAAAACTACAGCACCAGCAACAAGAAGAATATAAAACAATCATTCACCTGTGACGATGGATTCGGTCTGTGACCTCCCTGCCCGACTACCCGAGGCCAGCAGCGGCGCGGGCCTCCTTGGCGATGCCCTCCCACGTAGCTTGATCCTTCGTGCAAGGGCGCTCAGGGTCGATCCCTAGGGCAGCTCCGTGTTCCTGAACGAACTTGAGCACCTCCGGTTCGTACCTGACAAGAAAAAAACCCGGCAAAACGGCACAACGACAAACAGAGAAAAACAACCCATGATTGTGTTATTTTTTCTTACGAAAAAACTAAACGCACATGCGAGGCCAGGATAAATTATTAATTAGCAACGACGTCGCAGTTCAGTTGCCTCACCTATAGCTAGCTGTGTTTCTACTCACTCCGCAAAAAGTTAACGTATGCTCACGGCGCTTCGCGCTTGGTGATGTGAGAGCCTGGTCCGGTGAGAACCCGGCGTGCTCCGTCCCGGCTTTTTAGGGATGCGAGGTCAATGGTCTAGAGACTACGGCATGCACGACTATGGGTACACCCCCCCTCCCCCCATCATGGTCTAACGACTGCGGCATAAATGGCTACGAGTACACCCCCACCCCTCCAGTCATTGTCATTTGGTTAAGTACAAAACAGCAACGTTTGGTGCTCGCAGGGACTCCGCGTGCGGCATTGCTCCTTCCAACTGACTCATTCCCACGCGGGGTGATACAATCAGCCCGTGGTTCTAAGCTAAGTTTAGCCTATCTACGATTCCAAACCAGGATGCAACAATGGGAAAACGGCATGGGGGTGGTTTTATATATCCCTCAAATGTTGTATGTAACTTTCTGCTGGACCCAAGACGTGGCCGTCATGCTTGCCGAGACGCCGGAAACAAAAAAAAACAAAAAATTCGTAGCGATGGATTTGTTGCGTTCTTGTAAGAATGAAAATATTATCTTAAGGATACAAAAGAGTAAACCAAATGCACTCACTCCCTCGGCATGTAGATTGCCGTCCATCGGTGGTACATGAAGGCCAGCGAGACGGTGGCAACTAGCTCGATCACCCCGGCCGGGGCTGGGACCCAAGCAAGCAAAAGGAACGTAGAGGGAAGGGAAACGAACGGATGTTTATTACGGAGTAGAAAACACATACAATCAACAGATGTTTGATAGAAATTACACATATTTACAATCATAGGAAAACCGCCATTTCGAGATAATACCACAATTGCGTTCGAGTTTTCGCAGTGAATAGGACGGGCCATGAATTTTGTCACCCGGCTTGGACCGACCATCACTCCCTCGCACGTCTTTCAGTGCAAAAATATGTTGCCGCCGGGCTCAACCTACGTAGGTCCAGCAGCAGCAGCAGAACGCGCAATCGAACCTTCGACGTAAAGAAATTCAACACACCTCCTTGCCGGTGGTGTTCTTCCGGGGATGCCATGCGTATTGCTCCACCAAGGCGAGGAAGACAAGTACCACGACAAAAGAAACAGCAAAAGTAGAACACGAAAAAAACTACGCAAAGAAAGCCCGAAAAACGACCAATGCTCATGCGACAAAAAGTTTACGCGACACCTACCGCGACGACAGAGTACACATAAAACGAGAAGAAGGTGGTGGAAAAACAAGAGAGAGAGATGAAAACGGACAAAAATAGGAACATGACTCGATGCAAAAACAGAAAAAAAGAAGAAACAAAACTAGAGCGAACAGCATGATGTACGAGGGGTTGTACTCATATGTAGCCGTGCATGCCGCAGACCATGTACGTTGTGCGGGAAGAACGAAAAGGCCGGTGCGAGCTGTATTGACCGGACACAAAAATCAAGTCTAACTTCAAAACGGACGGCGACCGTGTTAGAACCTAGTGAAAACTACAAGGTGACGTTTTTTACTCACAGTACTGTCGCATCAGCAGCCCCACGAGCACCGGGGACACCGTCGAAGGGGTTCCACTGCATGCCTCCGCCAGGGCCATCGCCGCCACCTGAACAGAACCGGCCCGCAGTCAACGAAATATTGGTATTTCTTTGAGAAACAGAGGCTCAGATTTTCGCGAGAAACAGCTGGTGCTGGTGCTGGTGCTACCGCGGTTGCTACTGCTGCTACAGATGTGGTTGATAATAACACAGCTCAGGGGCGGATCCAAGACCAAACCTTACGAAACGACCTCTTCCGACGGTAATGGCGATGACGTACGATTCAGAGCCTCAAGACTTTCGGGAAAAACAAAAAAAAGGGGTGGGTTAAGAAACACAGCTTCCTCAGCGGTGAATCCTAGACGTAACAACCTGTGCTCGACAGTAGTGGCGACGACGGAAGAAACTGAGCCTCGACCCGTTTTTCTTTTATCTCCGGGCCCGTTCTGTGGGGAAATCACACCAGCAACGCCGTACGTAACACAAACATGGACACAAATGAACTGCGAATCCGGAGACAGGATCCTGTCGTTCAGTTAGACCATTGACCTCGCATCCCTTCAAAGCCGGGAGGGAGCACGCCGGGTCATCACCGGACCAGGCTCTCACATCACCAAGCGCGAAGCGCCGGAGGTGGGTCAATAACTACAGAGCATATTTGTGTTTTTGTACTGCTATAAGACCAACGCCGGTCCGGAAGGCGTTCAGGTTGAGCCGTTGATGCTGAATAAAGAAGCACATTTACACACATACACACATCGATCTGTCGGTAGAATCCGTTGATTTGAAGTGTCTTCGTTGTTCTTTTTTCCCGCAACTAGACCGACGACTTTGCAATGGGCAGCCGGATATCGCGGTCGATGCTAATAAGGAAAAAAAAAAACGCATACACACACATAGGAATTCCGCGGGCAAGAAGGTATGTTAGCGGGCCGGCGGCGGAGGGGGGGGGGCGTACTGAAATACTTTCATTGGTCAGCCGGTCAGTCTCCGCGATCGCCGATGCCAATTCGAGCAACACACACGCACACATGAGCCGACTGGCGAGGTCAACAACGTCACATACGACTCATGTGGCTATATCTCCAAAGAGTGTCTTCGATTGCATATATCCATCATTCCAAAAACAGCACGCACGCAATGCACACAACTACACCCCATGCTGTCGGAATAAAACCCTTGTACCCGTTCGTGCTTACTAGCGATCGGCTAGCGCGGCCGATGCTAATCAAGAAAAAAACACACACACTACCCCTTCTGTCTTTGATCCGTAGAAAAGTTAGCCTCGCCCATGCCGTCCCCTCACGGGGTCCCAAAAGTTAATGGCATGTCCAAGTGTCTGTGTTTTCAACCGCCCTGACACTGATGTCTTTTCATTGGTCAGCCGGTTAGCGCGGTCGATGCTAATAATACACACGCACACGTGAGACACACCTGCTTGGCGTCGATCGTGTCATCCGCCGCCACGTCCTCGCTCGAGTCGGCGTTGGTGGCAGTGACCAGCTGCCTGATGGGCATGCCGTTGCGATGCGCCATGAAGGCGTAGTGGGCCCTCAGGATCGTGTTGCCCGCGTTCGTCGCGCAGATGTAGCACATCAGCTAAAAAAAAGAGAAGGGTGGAGTGCGCGCGGGGGTCCTCATTTACCCCGTGTCACGCAGATAACATGGCACAATCAATGTTGGGCACAGTAGTTGTAAATCTAGTCGTGAGAAAATATGGAAAGGGGGGGGGGGGGGGGGGGGGG